TCCATTCTCCATGCACTCCTGCCCCCTGCACTGTCTCCCTGTGCATACACAGCCATTTTTCTCCCATGATTGTTCTCTCCATGGACTGTATCTACCTCAGGTAAATGTTCAACTCATATGGCTGTCTTTTGTTTGGCTGGAAGCCACGGGTGTGGGTTCAATTCCAGACCTGAAGGGCAGCGAGGGACCATAGTCTCAGTGATTCCACCAGGCTCTATCAGACCAGCAAACCTTGTCCCCTCACCTTTTTTTTTTTCAAATGATTTTGAGTTTCGTTCCACATTGTTCTTCCTCTCTATCCAGGGTCTCCTACATAGATCCCCCACCGATTGGTTGACAGTGGAAGCTGGGCACCATCTAGTTCTTCTGGTCTCATAGTCATATAGGCTGAAGATCTTTAGAGATCTCATAAAGACTCTTAGCCTTAAATGCATTATATCAATCAGGATAGGTTAAATTATACTGAGGTTACAAACAACCCCAAAATCTCAGTAGTTTACAAAAACAAAGGTTCATTTCTTACTCATGCTTCTTCTGTTTGTGGGCTGAAAGAACAGCCCTTATGGGGATATTGCGTGAGATGATCGTAGTCTCATAGCAGAGAATGAAAAGATAAAGTATTCTGTAAATACTTAGTTCTGCTTAGGTGTGGCACATCTAAATTCTCTTCTAATGTAGGCAAAGCAAATCATGTGGCTAACCTTGGTATCTAGGAGCTCTGGTAGCATAGTACCTAAGGCACTTGACTGTTAACCAGAAGGCTGGCAATTCAAACCCACCAGTCACTCCTTGGAAGCAATGGCTAATGACCCTGAGCATTTCTTCATGTGTTTGTTGGCTGTGTGAATATCTTCTTTGGTGAAGTGTCTGTTCATGTCTTTTACCCATTTTTTTAATTAGATTGTTTTTTTTGATATTGAGGTGTTTAAGTTCTCTATAAATTTTAGAGATAAGTTCCTTGTTGGCTATGTCATTGCCAAACATTTTTTCCCAAGCTATAGATTCTCTTCCTCAACATGTTTTCTATAGTGATTACCTCTTAGAGCAAGGATGATAGAAAAGACGAGATACTTCTTTTTTATTAGCAGTGCACTGTGGTAGTTAAGGTTGTATGTCAGCTTGGCTGGGCCTGGTTAAGTGACTGGGCAGCTGGTGGCAGTTATTCCCCATGATGAGACTGGTAATCAACTCCATGATGGCATCTACTGTGAGCAGCTGAGTAGCTGCCTTAGGGATGTGGTCTGCTTCCTGTATATA